TTATCATGGCTAGTATCCTGTATGATCATCTACTGTCAGTTTGTTGTCCTGGCTAGAATCCTGTATGATCATCTACTGTCTGTTTGTTGTCCTGGCTAGTATCCTATATGATCATCTACTGTCTGTTTGTTGTCATGGCTAGTATCCTGTATAATCATGTTCTGTCTGTTTGTTATCATGGCTAGTATCCTGTATGATCATCTACTGTCTGTTTGTTGTCCTGGCTAGTATCCTATATGATCATCTACTGTCAGTTTGTTGTCCTGGCTAGTATCCTGTATGATCATCTACTGTCAGTTTGTTGTCCTGGCTAGTATCCTGTATGATCATCTACTGGCTGTTTGTTGTCCTGGCTAGTATCCTGTATGATCATCTACTGGCTGTTGTTCATTAAAAGGTTACACAATTGACTATTTGAGTTGTGCCAATCACGGGTATCGAAACCCAATTTCTAGCCCCATGAGTCCAGACACTTACTGCTGAGCCACTTAGAGGCTATGATAATCTATCTAGTTATTAATTACTTACTTTTTAATTACTAGATAATATTTAGTTTGTATCCTGCGTTTCGGCTGTCAATCTATTGCCGTCTTCAGGAATGTTTTAAGAAAGACTGTGTTTATGGTATTAATGGCGGGGATTCAATCCTGAATCATCTCGTTAGAAATGTTGGTGTGCTATCAAGTTTCTCCAGTCTATCTCTTTCTCATACACAAGTAAGACATTATTATTACTTACAGTTTTTACATTCATGTATGATCGTGTTTATATATAAATGTTTAATCTATTTGACATACTTATTGATCTTAGAATTGAAACCTTCAACCAACATTCAAACAGCGTTAATGGTAAGATTTGTATTTACTGTATTTACGGAAGAAGAACATCTGTTAAAATGACACAGAAGTTTTTATCAGGCAGGTGGCAGCACTACCTAAATAGGGATGGCTCGGATTGTTTATCGAAATAGTATCTTAAATATCTCCTCAGTAGGTCATCAGAACTTTACAGTACTATACAGTGTTCCTTTTATAACCATATTTATGTAATGACTGAGTCACACGTCCTAGGAATGTCTGTAAATATCATAACAAAATGTTTGAATTTCTTGTTCTTCTTTCTTCTCCTTATTTTTTATTACATGATAATTCAAAAAACAAAACAATGGTGTCAACCTATTTCACTGAGGTGACATAGCTTCAAACGGAGTATCCGCTTTTATAAGTATTATTATTAACTAGTAGTAATGGAAAAAATTATAATTCTAGTGTAAACAATGTTATCATTACCCCCTGAAGTTAGCTTTCTTACAGAAATTTAGTGTTCCTTTAAAAAGCTTAAGCACAGGGTGAAAGAGGAATTACCAGTCAGTAATATATAAACAATAAATATTACAGTTGGAACCTCATTGTATTTAAAACTTGTTTATAAATACAACCGTCTGATGTCTATTGAAACACTGCATTAAGAAAACAAGTAAAGAATACCTTTTCAAAAAAGGAAGTAAATGTAGGGATGACTGATATCAATCCTCCAAAAACAATGCAAACGTCATCCATTCTATGTAGTTTCCATTGTTTTGAAGGATTGATATTAGCCATCCCTACATTTACTTCCTTTTTTTGAAAAGTTTTTGCTTTACTTGTATCAATATAATGTTGAGGTACGGATTGAAAGATTAGTAAACAAATCTACATAAACAAGAGATAATAGCATGGACATAAATTAGCTCGAATCCAATCGTCGAAGACACTCACACTTTCAGCCGTAGGTACGTTATAATGCTACCGTCAATCCCGCAATTCGTTGATGGCAGTTGGTGGTGGTGGGTCACCTCTAGTATATAACCCTCGAGCATCTTTGCGCAAAAATTAATAAACAAACATTTTTTGTTCATATAAACAGAGAACGTATTATATGTATACAAAGGCAGTAGCTCTTTATATAGCAGCCTATATGCTCAGTAGACATCAATAGTAGCAGAGCTGTTTTCTCTTAAAACTGCTTGATTACATCAAACACATATTGTTTATTTACTTTTCTTTCTTTCACCGCGCGTACTTTCTACCTTTTCTCTTTAAAATATTGTATAGGTTCACTGTAAGCCAGTAAATCATTTTGCTAGTAAAGTAGTTTGGTATTTCATCACCAGGTTTTGAATATTTTGTGTAACCAATGTTAAAGAGTTGTTGTTGTTGTTTTGAGAAATTTTTATTTGGACAAACTATTTTATGCCTAAATGCTTTCTCTCGGCTTCACAATACTTCTGAAAGAGGATCGGGACAATGATGTGTTTTCAGTTACATGTTTTGAAATCAATTTTGTTTATTTATTTGTTGTTAAGCGCAAAATTACACCTTGAGCTAATTGTGCTGTGCCCATCACGAGTATCGAAACCCGGTTTTTAGCGGTGTAAACCGTCAGGCTTACCGCTGAGTCACTGGGGGGTTTAAAATTAAAAGAATTGAACTAAAAATATCGAATTTAGGTATATTTACTACACTACACTAAAAAAGTCAATTAACTTAACCCGAGCAAATATCTGAAGAACAAACAAATTATTAAGTTAAAAAGAACCTGTTTAAATGAAACTTTTTCTTCTTTATTTGGTGTATGAAAAGTATTTTAGTTTGAAGGACAAACTCACGTAATTATACATACAACACTGAAAACCAAGGACAACAACAAGAGCCTGAAATTCTTGTTAGTTTGTTTTTCGTATTATCTGTTTATCTATATACGTTATTATTACCCATGCATATAATGACAACATTGACCTCTTTCAATGTGCACCTAAATAAGCGATTGGTTTTGTAGAGAACTATTTCCGAGGTGTTGGAATTTTTAAAGGGAATAACTTTCTTTTTATGTACTTGCGTCCCCCCTCCCTTCTTTGGTGGCTCAGCAGTGAGCTTAAGAGCTTACAACGTTAAAATAAAGAGTTAGAATCCTGCGATGGGTACCTACGCTAATGGCCTATTGTGTAACTTTGTGGTAAAAAAAGGGGAAGAATATTATATAGTTTCTTATTATCACAATACAGTACATTATTTCACTTTAAAACGCCCACCCGCTGCTTCAGCTATAAGTCTGAGTGCTTATAACGTTAAAAATTTGCTTTCGATACCCGCGGTGAGCAGAGCACAGATAGCCCATTGTGTAGCTTTGTGATGAACAGAATGATCAAATGACTTCTGGATAGTTGTTAAAATGCTTGAAATAAAAGAAACCAAAATTATACAATTCTTAGATAACAGCTGTAGGTTTTTTTTATTAAAATTAATTATAACCTTTTTCAAACGTTTGCAGCTTGTTAATTATTCACTTTATTTGATTTATAGTATTTAATGCAAGACTGCTAACCAATTATCACTGGTGGTGGCGGTTTTTATAGGTCTAATCAATTAGTTTTAATTCTAAATCTTAATTCAACAAATACTAGCTCACTTATCAGGGGGTGACATAAGAGGCCAGATTGGAACATCGACTCCACTTTTTTAATCATCAGGGGTCCTAAGGGCATATGCTAGGTTTGGTGACAATCGGTCCAGGATTTTCGTAAATTATAAGCAGACACGCACAGGCAACTTTCTTCAAATAATGATTTAGGTAACAAGGTTTTGAGTTCAATGTTTGTACAGGCAATGTTTTTAAAAAAATATTTGTCCTCAACTTAGATGGTGCACATATGTTAATGGTTTCATCTGATATTTTTAAATTTATACTTTAAAGTTATTTTTCTTTTATTAGAAGATTTTCCTCAAGCGAGTAAGACCATTGCAATAACCATATGCAAAAGAAAGAAGAGTTGAATATCGTGTTGGAATGTCCCAATAACACTGTTAATATATTTAACAGTTGTTCTACTTCTGTCTTTATTTTCTTACTCGACAGCAGTCTCACTATCTGCCCCTTGCTTCGTCACACTTTCCATGATAGAAGGCTTCATGATTCGTCAGTTTTATCATCATATGGCTATAAAATTGTGAAAAACATGTGTATTTGATTATCTGATTTCACTTAAAGCTGCACACGGTGGATCAGCGGTAATTTTACGGACTTACAACGTTAAAATCTGGGGTTCGATTCCTCGCGGTTAAAATAGCACAGATAGCCTATTATGTAGCTTTGCGCTCGAAACCAACTAAACCAACGTTCAAAGCTGCGCAAGCGCTATTTGCGAATAGTCGTCCCTAACTTTGAATTTATAGACTAGTGGTTGGATTACTTTATTCAGATTCCGTTGCCATTTCTAAGAGAACCGAGTTTTAAAATGGTTTCTGACATTTTGAAGCGTACTTTTCAATTGGAGTTGGCCACTAAAAGGCAAACTCAAAATGACTATCATACATAAAACAGTTTTTTACCCTGTTTAGCCCAGATTGGTAAAGTTTTTACATTTGTTTCGCTTTTTTTTGTTGTTGTTGTTTTGATTTGTCTAATACATGTGCCTATTACTGACATTTGTTGACACTTCTTTTCAAGATGGCCACCAAAATAGATTTAAAACTATGAAGAACAATCTGGGAAAAGAGGGGTTTAAGTTAAAAGCTTGCAAAAATCTATAGAGGATCATTAAAAAATGCTTTAAACATTCTTACCTACGAAAACTTTATTCTCGTTTTTACTTCGTCATACATTTAAAATCTAATAAAAATACCTATTTTAAAAATGTATAAAAAAATCGGTCACTGTAATTAGCTTACTCATAGTTTGTACCTCTGTCAGAAACCTGACGCCACTGGTTCCTAAACATTTTTTTTTCACTGACGACACCCTAACCTACTTACCTTGATTTGCGCGATACCCCTGCTGCCACATGAAATACATTTTTGTGTAGGGAATTTTTATGATGTTAATTATTCTTCGTTTGTTGAAACTGTCGTGACACCCCAAGCAACTTGCCGCGACACACAATTTGGAAACCATTACTTTGAGCACACAACGGGCTAAGCAGACAGGTAAGAAACCCCTGTCTTTCAAAACAGAGGGTAGGAAACTAGTTGGCAGCACCCGCCGCTTGCAATGGCTACTCTCAACCGAATAGCGGGATTGGCTGTCACTCTTATAATTCATTCACAGCTGAATAGTGAAGAGAGTTTGGTATCACCAAATACTGATTGTTTCCATGTTTCAGATTTTCTTTGTTTGTTGTTAAACACAAAACTGCACAATTGGCTATCTGTGCATTTGCCCACCGCGGGTATCGAAACCCGTTTTTTTAGCGTTATAAGGCCTCAGACTTACCGCTGAGCCACCAAATAGCATTCTTTTTTATATTCGCATAAAACTACACAAGGGCTAGATGCGTTTACCATCCCTGATGTTTAACTGATAGAACAGAGGGAAGACTGCTAGTCAACAACATCCAACACCAGCTTTTGGGACGAAAGAATAGAGGGAAGACTGCTAGTCAACAAGATCCAACACCAGCTTTTGGGACGAAAGAATAGAGGGAATACTACTAGTCAACATGATCCAACACCAGTTTTTGGGGCTATAGAATAGAGGGGAAACTGCTAGTGGACAACATCCAACACCAGTTTTGGGGCTATAGAATAGAGGGAAGACTGCTGGTCAACAACATCTAACACCAGTTTTGGGGGCTATAGAATAGAGGGACGACTGCTAGTCAACAACATCCAACACCAGTTTTTGGGGCTATAGAATAGAGGGACGACTGCTAGTCAACAACATCCAACACCAGTTTTTGGGCTATAGAGTAGAGGGACGACTGCTAGTCAACAACATCCAACACCAGTTTTTGGGCTATAAAATAGAGGGAAGACTGCTAGTCAACAACATCCAACACCAGTTTTTGGGATACTCTAATAAAATAGTGGTGTTTTACTTTGTCACTCTCATAACGCATCCATGGTCTCAAAGTGTGGAGCGGGATTTTGTGACGAGATGCGAGCCATGGATACTCAGTCAAGCATGCTAACCATTACACTACACCTAGTCTCCTCGAACCTGAGACCCATGGATCCCCAGTCCGATATGCTTACCATATTTCAATGTGCATTTCCCTGTGATTATTTCTTAAATGGTGGTAGATGTTGTACAACGTATAAATAATTTATGACAATGACAAAATAAAACAATATACATACGTGATAACCCAGGTATGGGACACTCTAGGTAGGATAACCCAGGTATGGAACACCGTGGGAAACTATAGGTAGGATAACCCAGCTATGGAACACCGTGGGAAACTATAGGTAGGATAGCCCAGCTATGGAACACCGTAGGAAACTATAGGTAGGATAACCCAGCTATGGAACACCGTAGGAAACTATAGGTAGGATAACCCAGCTGTTATAACTAGTAAGGTCTGACATATAAATATAGAACATTATTCGAGACATAAAAAGGAGCATGAAAACATAGCGACAGTAGTATAATAACTTAAAGTACAAGTATATGTATATATATAACACTTTTAAATGTATCTGAAGTTTTAAAAAGTATCCTTGTAAACAATCCAAAACGATCAAAGGAACGCAGTGTGAAACTATCACTGTTGACTCTCACTGAGGATACCACATAATTCAGTAATCAGTGTCATCTATATAAATATAATAGTACTGTCTGTTGTATGTTATCTATATAGATATAATAGTACTGTCTGTTGTATGTCATCTATATAAATATAATAGTACTGTCTGTTGTATGTTATCTATATAGATATAATAGTACTGTCTGTTGTATGTTATCTATATAGATATAATAGTACTGTCTGTTGTATGTTATCTATATAAATATAATAGTACTGTCTGTTGTATGTTATATATATAAATATAACAGTACTGTATGTTGTATGTTATCTATATAAATATAATTGTACTGTATGTTGTATGTTATCTGTATCAGTATAATAGTACTGTCTG